GCCGTCTCACTTGCACATTTGTGACCGTGTGCATGATGGGGGCTAGGGGTTGAATTGCATCACTGACAGTAGACTTCCTGACAGCAATGGGCCACCTCTTGCTCACAGACCACCACCTTAAATTCACTTAACAAGAAACACAGAGCCTGTGAACCTTATTTTTCCTTCCAAAGACTTGCCACTTCCCACTCAATGGACATCTCATTCTTTTCAGCTACACCAGATTGTCTTACCTCCTCTTCCATCACTGACACCTAACATCAATAGAAAGAAAAGGTTCCCTCTTTAGATGTAGGATCACATTAATTGAAGATAAAGACCAAGTTCTTGTGGCAAACAAAAGCTGAGGTCTGGGTATCAAGTTCCTAAGCACCTTCTGGACACAATGTCTTTAAATACAAAAAGTCATCTGGATTCATAACTCCTCGTCTCATGAGCATTTAGCACTAACTGAAGGACACTCCATGGTCTGTATAAATCCCATAAGACTACTGCCTCAAAACCCAGAGTGACAAAGAATTCGGACAGAGCTCCATTTCATAGCATTCAGGATTCAGCAATATACACTTGAAAGAAGTTGGTTTTCAGTGATTTCCCTGTCTGGCATATAATCAAAGACAATTAGTAGACCCCAAACTGCAGTAATCAAGACAACAAAACCACACATCTTGGACAGGAGAAAAAAAGTCTTTACTATTCCTTTACATCAAAAGGCAGTTTATATCTGCTTTTCACTACAGATATTTTAATTACTTTTTATTTACAGCAAACTGAGCAAGCCCCACAGTACCCTCCTCTTCTTTTTCTGGTAGTTAATCTATCAGCAAGGTATTAGGGGCAAAAACACTCCATATATATAAAAATAAAGCAATGGCTAAACAAGTGAAAAGTATGAATTTCTTAACAACACTGAGAAACCAATCTTGGAAAAAAAATGTTTTGAGGAATGAATTATCCTCACTACTTCAAAAGGAAAAAAATCCTGTGCTGTGTTCTTGAATCTGAAAGATGTTTTAATAGAAGTTATTCAAAACACTTTCAGTAATTACTTTGGAAACTCATCTTTAGTACCGTTCTCAAAAATGCTAATCTTACATCTGGTCTTTTCAGCTTCAAATATTCCAAATCATACTTATACTTTATACTTTGAAATCACTTCATTTACTAATTAAAAGCACTTAGAATTCTTTCTGTGGAAAAAATAAAAATAAATTGATAGCACATCAGCATTATAAACAACTTCTGTGGACAAGATGTAAATAACTCCCTAACTACTTGAGGCAAACAACAAATGCTGGGAAGAATTTGGAAAATATGCCAGGATATGTAACATAGTGACTTCACAGCAATGATCACAACTAATGTCTCTGATTCCATAATCAGAGGATTACAGTTTGGGGTATGTCCTCCATACAGATATGAAACTACAAAAGACAGTACTGAAGGTCCTTAAAAATTATGTCACTGAAACTGAAATCTCAAGATAATAAAAAAATTTGGTCTTAAAGGCTGTAACAGCTGATGTGTTTAAAGCCAGCAAGTGTTCTAAGTGCTCTTTTTTCTGACAAGAACAACTCCATGATTGTTTAAAACACCACTAAGCAAGAAACTCTGTGCATTTAGGTAGGTCTACACACACAGCTATTTAACACTACAGTTTTAGAAGTTATAATACAGATATAATATCCAACTGTGAACTGTGAAATTATATAGAGCGTACTAAGGCAGAAAACAAATAGCTAATTAAGCAAAAATGGGCCTTTATTGACTTCACCAAGTTTTCCTCCATGTTTTTATTAAAAAACAAAATGACGAAAGCTTTTTTTGTTCAAGACAGTATAAAGCTTTCTCTTCCTGAAGAATCTTCAAGGAAGATTTTTACACGTGGGGAAATCTTTAGCAGTTCTGATGTTTTTGCCTCTCCCTCAATACCGATGGTAAAACCCTGGCTGATATTGAGAACCAGGAAAAAGATGCTTCTATGGTAAATATGAATTTGTATGTGCTATTAAAGAAGAAAGAGACTTACCAGATCAAAAGATTAATTTTCCCACTTCTCTTTGTACCCCTCCAATTATCAACCCACTCCTCCTGCCAGCAGACAGTACAAATTGAATTCCACTGAAATCTTTGCTTTTAGTAGGCTAATAGACTGTTACCATTCTGGATACTGGTTTGAAGCTATTCAACTCCCACCTGGAAAATTCATCTATACCATCTCCTGGCACAAGTGGGAGAAAAAAATAGCTAAGCAATGTGATAGCTAGAGAATACAGCATCAGTCAGTTCTGATTACTGCAACAGTTCTCCAAAATTCCCAATTTTCAAAACTCAAAAATTTCCATATCCTCTTTTTAATCCAAACAGTCTTTATTCAAATACCTAACCCAATATTACAAAAGGCACTGCATCATGAACTGACTTAATTTGTTTCTGAAATGCTGAAATAAAAAACACTGGAGAACCATAGCAATGCAAAATTTTACTTACTTGACAAATTACAAATTATAGTCAATTAAATAATAACAAAGTACAATGAGCTGTGTACCTGAATTTCAATATTTATAAAGCTAGTGGACTAGTGGAAATAGAGGATCAGAAGCCTCTAACATCAAGATGCTTTGAGGATAAAAACAAAGTGAAGATTAACTTCTTTTCCCTCTTCACAGGGATGTAACGTATTTGTCTTCTGCATTCCAGAGCTCAGCATAGCTTTTGGGCTCTACAAATAATTCTTTTTTTCTGTCCTCTTAAGAGGAGTTCAGAATTCCTTATTTGCTCTGTATTATTAAGTCAGCTAACAACAGGGATAATGATGCTCCACCCTTTGACTGTGGAAGGAAGAAAGAGTAATCACTTACCTGGGAAAATAGAAAGGACAGCCAACTGGAATTAAAAGCAACCAATCGGGCCTAATTAAGGCAGGTGAGACCAAACTGGAGTATGCTCTTTTACTATCAAGTTTAGATGAACAGCTAGACAAGAACCAAATAAGGCTTACTCCTGTGTCAACTAGCACTTCATCTAATACTCTTCAACGTGCTATGGATAAAGAAGAGATGGGCTGCTCTAAGGCATCAGAGCCATAAGTTTTTAATTCTGTTTATGCAAACGACTACTAAAGCACATCTATGGAAAAGATGCTTTATTCACCCAAAATCTATTGCAAATTTATGCTTTATTTTTAATTACTTATGCCAACACATCACAGCCAAAATTAAGAGCTCCCCTGTACAGAGTAAGATGGTCCTTCGTGAAAAGTTTACAATTCAAATAAATGAGATGGAGAAAGCATGAGATAAAGAAAGATAATCCCTACTTGATAACATCAAAATGAAGCACAACTCCAAGATTATGGGGCAAGAAAGCCATTTAACTAAAAACTGCAACTAGATTTCTTGAATAACATAAGAGCTTTCCTTTTTTTGTGACAGCTGCTCTGGTACATTTCAGATTTATTAGCCACATTCGGAGGCTACAGTTCCAGAAAACTAACATAAAAACTGGATATAAGTGAAAGTACTCTAAATTCTTGCAGAATACCAAGGTAGCAATCCTCTGAAGACAGAACTCGAAGCATATATTAACTACTGGCTCTACCAGTATTGTATGTGTTACTGCTCCAGGTCTACTTACTGTTTGAGACTCAAATAAACAGGTTAAGATCAGTGAAGCTCAGAAAAGAGTATTTTATCCCAGGATATATCTAGAGCTTCTTTAACAAAAGCATAGGCTTTAACAAAAGCACGCGAGAGCCTGAGCATCCAAAAAGCACTGCAATAAGGTTTGGCTGTATCCTCTAGCTATAACATCAAGCCCTGTAATGTAATTTTATATTCACTGCAGATTAGTTTTCCAGCATGCATGACACACTGTTCCCCATTTCAGCAGAACATATATTCTGTGCTAAAGTGGTCTAAATACAATTCAAAGAAAGTGAACCCAAAAAACCCAGCTCTTAAAGAACTGAGTGCTGCTACAATTTCAGAGTAATTATTTTCACCTCTCACTCATGTTCCTGCTCCCTCAGTCCACTGAAATGACCTTATAATGAAAACCAAGGCATACTTTAAAATGTTCTTTTTTCCAACAGTCAGAATATTCAACCTAATAGGTACATAAAATTAGTCAGCATCACATCACAACTGATTTTTCCTCTGAAGTTATTGTTGATAATTGCACTACCCCAAACAGTAAGGGGTGCAGAACATTATTTCATACAGAGTAATTATTGATTGTCATATCACTTTAAAATATCATTTGTTAACTAATGGTACCTGAAAAACTGATCCTTTCATATCTTTTTATAATATAATCAAGAGCAACCACCTTTCTCCTAACCCTTGAAGGTCTATAATTGACTCCAAGAGCTTTTGCTAAGCTCTTTTTCTTTTGTTTTGCCACCTGATAGATACGCTTGGACATCTAGAGGCATATCATTTCACAGTAAAAAGTTTCTGTATAATCCAGTCATGCTGGAAGATACCAAACAAAACAATGTCAATATTCCTGTTGCCTTTATTTACAGTTCATGTCAGAGTCTTTTCAAACCTGCTTTCCTGCAAGATTATAATATCATGTATGAGGCAGCAGCTGATAAACATACAGACTGATAGTGAACATTTGCTTAATACAAATGCCAAAATGAATAAAGAAAAAAATGACGGGCATGTTGGTGGAAAAATCTGTAAGGCAAGTCAATTTTTTAATTAAAAAAAATTGCATACCAGAAAATGTTAATGAGCCAGAAGTCCCCTGAGACCCCTTTTATACATTCTGCACTATTTTGATGCTCCCACTAAAGAAAACTGAACTGCTCTCACACTGACCTAGTTGAAGACACATTCTTTTTTCAACCTCATAGCAAAACGTGAAATCTGAAAATATCTTATTCATCAAGTTACTTTACTCACTTTTAGCCACTCAAAGTTATCAAACTAGAAGCAGAGAAGCCATGATGATCTCAAGGCACAAAGTAAAAAAAAAAATCTCAACGATACCTTTAACTTCTTCATAAATGCTATCATCTATTGGTTCACTGCTCACTTGTCCAACATCATCATATTCCTCTTCCTCCTCCTCAGGAATGGTATTAGATTCCATATCTACATAACAGCAGTTTAAAAAGTCAACATTTACTCGGAAAGAATGTCTAAGCACAAATTTATGTAAAATTAAAATACAATTCATCTTCTATGAGCTGGTGCTTACAATGTATTCTGCTTATTTTCTTACAGTGTTCATAATTAGGGGTTTCAAGCTAAATAACATTCTCGTAGAAAAGCAAAAATCTTGCAAAAGGTGAAAAGTCATGTAAAAGCTACAATATGATGGAGAAGTAGGACTTGCTATTCAAAACTTGGACAAGTGGTAATACCAGCTATACAAATGTGACAGGTATGTTAATGGACAGAACTACCATCACTAAGCAGTACGGGCAATAAAGTCTACTGCTCTATTGACGGGCTTACCTTGAATTACAAACTTGACTTGCTGTACCCATTCCTCTGCTTCTTTGGGAGTGGCAGCTGCAAACTATTAAACACTTATTAATAACCACTGGCAGTAATGACAAAAACACAACTACAATTTCATTAGCAATAAAAAAAGAGGGACTGTAGCATTCTCATCACTTCCTCAAAAAACCATTAGTAATTCTTTTCATGTCTTCTGGTACTTTTCTTGCAAGGATGCTTCTTATAATGTACAGCTAATTTTGACAAATTTACGTAATTGAAGGAGAGGATGATGGATTTGAAACTCTGATCAGCAGCTGGCAGCTGTGCAGAAAAAAGCTGCTTCTCTTCATCAATGTCAAAGCCAGAACTGATGAACAAAATTTGCCCTTGACAATTAGAAGACACCCATGAATTTCTTTAGACTGCTGGGTACAGTTTTCTTAAAAATGTTCTTGTCAGACTCCAACACACTACCTGACAGCTTAATTAACTGGCTTTCAACTGCAATCTCAGATATTTAAAACTTATTAAACTTACATTCCATATTGATGTCTAGCTGATAGATCTCTGAATTGCACAGCTGATATGTGCCTTTACGTAGATTTTCCTTGCAAAGCCATGACCAATACAGTGTGCATTTAACACTGATATATATTTTAACTTTTTTGCTATTTAATTCATACAAGAAATCATGCAGACATACTATACAATAGATAATAAAATGCTAACACTGAAATGACCAATAGATAAAGATGATAGATTTCCTTGCTCTTGTCCAAAAAGATAATATTTGAACACATACATATATACTTTAAATCAGATTTTTTCCTAATATATGAATATACAATATAAGCAAGCAAGGGTTTCCTTTTTTCATTAAGATGTCAGCGAAAGTTGTTTTACTGAAATGTTAATTCAGTAACTGGAATTGTAACAGCTTTATCAATTTAATTTCAAGTCAACATAAAAAAAGTCCAACCTGATAAATGCGCTTATCAGGAGCAGAGATTTCAAAACAGCAATCTTTCTTTGCATCCTTCCGAAGGCTATTATTCATTCTGATGGTGTAGCCCTCTAAGGCAAATTCACCTTTCTGTTGTTTGTCTGTTGGAGATAAAAAATAAAGTTAGAGCTTCATTTACAACAGTGAACGTAAATGGCTCAGCAGGTTATCGTTTATTCAGATTTTGTTTTCTATTTCATGAATTTTACAAAGAACAGAGAGGTTTTTAGCAAAATGATTAGGTGATGCTTCCAGAGATAAAGCTTTATTGTAAAGGAAGACGTACACAAAAGTACATTTTTCTGTAGGATGCCTAAGGAATTCCACAGGGGGCTTGTTTACAGATGGTGGTCTTGTTTAGTAAGAAGCGCGTGTTATGACACTTGTATCTAGGGAAAGCCAAGAACTGGAACTTGCAAGACACGCTTCCTATAAATCAGTGTCTCTTTCAGGTTCAGTAAACCAATGGGAAAACCTGTCTGGCTCAGAACTTGCTGAGCTCCCTCCTAAACTAACCACTTCACTCAAAAAATAAACTTCAAACTCCATTTTAAGCAATTGGAAAAGCTTCTCTTTACATTCTCCCACCCACTCCCAGATGTGCCTCCTTTCCACATGGCAGAAATACAGAGTGAATTTTGTTGTAAATTCAGGTGTGTGTTCCAAAAGCCTTTCTCTCAACACAGCAAATGTTTAATTAGCTAATAAAAGTACTGAGCCCTACCACAGTTTATTATGTAGAGCCATGTGGTTGTTTTAAAGACAATCCTACCTTTCAAAGGTTCTGGTTTATAAAAGTATCACTTAGAACAGGCCTGAGTTTAAGTATACTGCGTGTTGGGCAAGCAGCACCTGTGTACTCCATCTGAGCCCTTCAGACCAAACCCCGCAATCTGATTTTATGTGCTCTGGCATGTTTTGGTGGATATTAAAAACAAACAAAAAAAAAAAAGGTAAAACTATATCAGTTTTGCAATTTCTGTAGATCACAGTGCAGCATTCAAGTAAAGACAGGCATCATTGGTCACATTTTGCTCAGGCAAACGAAGTGAAGTGGCAAATGAAAGAAACTGCCAGTAAGTGTGGGTTTTTTCCACAGTAGAGAACAACATTAACTAACAGCAAGCATCAGGCACAACAGCAAAACTACTTTAAATACTGCTGAACAAAACTTAGGTGCAAATTGAGCATCCATTGCTTATGTTTGCCAACAAAAGGAGAAAACTTCTACAGTAGATAAACCAGGAAAAACTACAATTCTCAGCATAATTTTGTCATCTTCCTGGAAATTGAACAGGAAAGCAAATCTTTTTTCCACTCCTGAGAGGGCAAAAATTGGCTAACACAGCAACATGAACATCAATGGTCATTAGGGTAGTCACCATAAAAATACTCTTCCTAGTAATCGGACATGCACTTAGACAAATTCTTTGTCCTTCCACCTTTTCCTGAACTCTCACCCAGGCCAAGTAAATACCAAATAACAAAATTATACGAGAAAATCCAGGGCACTGGATTCTATTTTCTCCTCTAGTCCCTTCCCCCACAGTAAGTTTTATTAAGTCTTAATTAAGTACCAACGATACACTACTAATATTTTATGTTCGCTCAAGCCTCCACCCCTATATCAAACAGTATACAGATGCAAAATACATGGAATCGCACCAAGGCAGATATTAGAAATAATATCTTGCGAAAGGTTAACTAGGTCCCCTTTTAATGAAATTCATTTCCGCCTAGAAATTTTATTGTTCCCTCACTTGTGACCTCAGGGAGAAGATGAAGTGAAACACATTAATTTCTCACTCTCCCATGCTGGAGGTTTATCAAAACCCAAGAAGATAGGAGCACGCAGACAGAATAAGCAAACACCAGGTTCAAAAGGTAAAAACATTTTGTCAAGATAAAAATGAGGCAAGTATTCAAATTTAGTCGGATTATTTCTGAGACTGCTTCTCTGTGACATGGATGATCCCTTTTATGGTAATACAGTTTTACAGAGCTAATCTCAGATGATCTCTGTACTGGAACTCGTTATTTCAAAGAGCATTACAGTTAAAACAGAAAGATGCTGTACTTTGCACTGGAAGGGGAACGCAGTGCCCAGTATCCATATTGCATTTGATTGGTTTATTGTTTATGCTGTCTTTATCTTATCTCTCTGAACACCCTGTTCCAGTGCTAATGAAAATTACCTGCATGCATCACCAAAAAAATACATATCCTTTGCTATTAAATTCTTTCGCTGACCTTTATAGCAAGGGACTAGTCATAGCATTGCTACTTTTGCTTCTAATTGTCTGTGCAGTAAAGTACATCTGATTGAACTCCAATGTAGCATTACACATATGTTTAAAATGTTGACCATGAGGAAATTTTAAGACAATGAGAGATTTCACAGCCCTGACCAAGAACCTATTAATGTTGAGAGAAAGACTCTCGGTCTGCATTCACACTCCCTGTGGCAGCAAGCCAGAGATAAGACCAGGTATGTCCTGAGAAATGGCTCCATAAATACAGAATGGCAGGACACAGGTCAGCTAGAACTCAGATGCATGCTCTGATAGTGACAAGCGATGGAGGTCTACAAATCCCAGTTGGTCTTGCAGAATACACCTTTCCAGATAGGACTGGCGACCAACCCCACCACCTGATCACCATGGAGCAAGCCATGACCCATGGTAGCTGTTTGGCCAGGCACAGTAGTCAGGCTTGAAGACAATCTTGTAACCATCAGACTGAATGATCATCTCAACTTCATTTATTGGCAAAGGCTTGCCACTAAATAGACATGGGCTTTCAGTTTAAAGCTGCCATGTGAAGTTAGTGCCATAGTGACTTCTGTCAACATTCACATTCGGAGTTATATTGTTGATACCAGAAATATTTTCTGGAGACTGTACTAGAGGTACAGTTAAACAGTTTTTGATGTTTAAAAATTTCCAAGATGCTAAGATTTTACTTGGAGACTTAAAATTAGATATAGTTGGGGTTTTGTATGGAGGGAGCCCTAAAAGCAGCTTCAGAAAGCACATTTATGTTACAGAGATTTCACTTTCATTTTGAACCCCGAAATCAGAACTGGAGTTTTGCCTAAGCAGGAATACAACAGCATATTTAAGAGGAACTACAGAGAGACATACAGATGGAACACACTTCTCTGAAGGAGGATAACATACTTGCTGCCTCTCATTTTCTCAAGATAGAGCTTTGCAATTCGACAACGGGATACCCTTAATTTGTCCCAGAACAACAAAAAACAGAATTGTAAAAGTATACTACTATCAGTCTTGTAAAAACAAAAAGGATCACGAACATCATCAAACATAAGTTAAGCAGAATTAAGTTAAATCTCATTTCAGAATAGACTGTTCTCTGCTCTCATCTCCTCCTCTTCCCTTCTCCCCATATCAGACACATAATAGAAAAATAAACGTGGGTCTGTGTAGATTATTTTGCATCAGGAATTTAGAATTGTAAAAAGCTAGTATAACAGAGTGGACAGTCAGGCACTAAATACTGAAAAAAAAACCAAAGTCAAAACTAGTACATAGATATTTGAGAGAAATAAATCTGTGGGGTTATATTTGAAATAGAGAAAATACAGATCTGAATGAAATTTGAGAGCCACTTTAAACATTTTCTTAGATATAAACTTCATTCATCCTAAAAATAGTGAAATGTAGTTAACAGCGGAAACAGGGACAATATTATATTGGGAAAAAAGAGTCTCAGGGGAAGCAGAGAAAAAGGGTTTTGAAGTAACCTTGCGTAACTGACTCCATGGGAACTTTTAAAACAAAGAAGGGCAAACCTTCAACGGGGTCTTGAAATGACTGGGTTGTAAATTTGAGGCCTAAGGCGATGTGCCCATATTATTAGCACATGTAAAAAGAATTAGTGCATTCTGAAGAACAGAGAGGACTCGGATAGTAGAAAGGAAAGAAGTTCCAGAGAAAGGCATAAGAACAAAGGCAAACAGAAAGATTTCAGAGAGTGATAAAGTATTTATAGATACTATTAGAATCTATAATTTAACTCTCTTCATCTTGAAATTAGAAGCCTGTAAGATCTTATGGTTTACATGGCTTCATGCTAAATGTAGTTTCACATACTTTTCCATATGCAGGATGTCTGCTTTCTAAAAATAGTAAGTGTCAGTATCACCAAAGTGGTAATTCCTTTTCCAGCTTTTGGAACAGTCCTTTCCAAACACATGCATAGGAGTTCTTCTCTTTTAGACAGCAGATCTGAAATGCAATTGACTTTTTTTTTTTTAATCCTCTCCTTTAATCTTGTCCTCTGAGAAGTCTCAATTTAAAAAATGAAGAAATGGAGGCAATGACTGAAACACACTATTTAGGGCATCAGTTTATTTACATTCAGTTTGCTTAAACTCAATAGGTATTTTTAAATAACGCACTATTTATAGCAAGTGTGCCTCTAGAGGTCCGAATTTAACATTCTTATAGCAGAAGATTCAGTACTCATTAGCTAGATGCCTTTGATTGACATCACCCTGCTACAACAAAGTCCTACTGAACATTCACAATTCCTGCATTTTTCAATTACGGATTCTGTCAAAAGTAAAGTCTAAACTAAACAAGGATTTTTATCTTCCCTATGTGGTTGTTCAGAGAGGGAGGACTAAGAGAAGAAGGTCTATAGATAAAAGCAAAATGATACTTCAACAGCATGTGGCAGAAATTCCAGCAGCCTGTTTCGGTGAGTCACCATGACAGATCTGCAAATGTAACTCTAACTAGGCTTTTCTCTCCGTTAATATTGTTTAGATAATAAGTTCTTAAAAAAAAAAAAAAAACACAGAATAAAACAAAACCCCTCTTTTGCGCAAATAGAAGTAGTCCATCCATTGGCCTGGCCATCACTATTTTACTATTCAGATAAATCTATAGTTTTCATGTCCATGTTAAAAATAAATTAAAAAAAAATAAAAAATAGACTTTTCTAAAGGCCTATGAATTATCCCCCTCTTCAACATCATATTACTGGGCAGGCAGGCAGATACCATTTTCAAGTTATAAAAATGAAAATAAATTTTTAGTGCCCATTAACATGAAAAAATTGCCATGATGTTATCAATTACTGTCTTGCTAAACATTTAGCTGATCTCTCCAGTTTGCTGAGACAGAAGGGCATATAATATTGGCCTAGTGAGGAAGAAGCAATGAAGCCATTAATTCATTCATTTATAAAGCAACAAATTAATTTTCCTTCTTCACATGCACTTGGAGGTCTGAAAGGTTAGCCACACCACCTAGGTGCCCGAGTACCCAGGAACTGTCAGAGATCATACAGAAAAACAATATGCAAACAGGATACCCAACTCAGGATGCAACTGCATGGAAGCAAAGAAGGGGGAAGGACTGTAAAATGTTTATGGAAGGAAAGAGTATGGAAAAGGTGACTTAAACCAAAGTCCATATGCTAGAAAGCATAAATAATCCTTAGAACAAACACAAGTAAAAAAAACAATCTTTTTTTTTTTTTTTTGCAAAAACTTGCAGATGAAAAGATGAAAAGACAAAGCTTTAAAACCCCAGAACAATCTTTAAGAACTAGAAATATATTCTGACAAAAAAATTGCCATTTTTTAAGTACTAGATAACGTATAACTATATATAAACAAACAGCGCAAGACGATTTTCCAGAGAAATAAAGAAATCATTTCTGACAAATCAGTGTTATGCCACACCTCCTCAAAATTTTTGAAGAAAGATTGTTTATGTCTTTGAAGTTTGATAAATCTGTAAATCCAAAGAAAAGAGTAAAGAAGAAAAGGGAACATTTAGCAGATATATTCTAGAAACAGAGATTATGATGGGAAACTGTAGCAAGATGAAAACTGGACTTTGAATTAGACCCTTACTTTATTTCATTTGGTTTTTAGAAAGAGCATGACTTTGAATGAGTCAGCATATTGAGGAATTAGACAAACTAGACCAAATTAAATTAGTCTTTGAATAAAACAATGCAAAATTACTACCTGCAAGTAGAGTCACACAAACATAAGCAGAAGAAAAAAACTTAATAGAAACTTGGAAAGTTTACGCAGGAATAAGCATTGTGGGGGGCAGGGAAGACAAAGACATAACTGCACTTTAAAAATTTACTTATCTATATTTCTGTATCATTTGTTTCACCCTTAAACGCCACAAACAGTTGGCATACAATTTAAACAATATTTTATCTGACAGTCAATTTTAAAAATTTGAAGTGATACCCCAACATTTATGCCAGATTCTTTCTGAACTGGCCATTTAAAGTTAAAAGTCACCTTCAGGACCTAGCTTTAGTCTCCATGACTGGCTTTTAGTTAAATATATTACTTCATTTCCAGCTTTTTCAGAACATAAGCTATTTAGAAAGAAACATGGAACTCCATTATGCAGTTTTTAGACAAACATTTTCCTGGATAGAACCATCTTTTAAAAACTCTGGAAGGTATAAGTCCTCGAGGGTGTTTTAAAATGAAAATCATATTTGGACAGAAAGAACATTTTCTATCCAGTAAATTAATTGAGTACCAGCATACTATCAAACCTAATAGCTAGCTGTTAGTGGCACACAAAGTAGCTTTGCAAGTACCTTAATCTTCTTTCCTCAGTTTCCCTGCTTTACAAACTGAGCACATCACTTATAGATCTGAAGAATATTTACACATTTTTGAAATTCACAGCACTGTTTAAGAACCATCTATTTTTTTAAAAGTTTTGTTTGCTTTTTTAAAATGACCTTAGATTCACTGTTTCCAACTGCACTAAGGCTTTCATATTCTTCTGTGCATTAAAAGATCATTGTTATAGTCTATCAGAGTTCTTATAATTACCTTTGTCACTTCCATAATAGTAGAAGACAGTCTTACTGATAGCACACCAACGCTTCTGCCATTCAAAGCCGAGAAAACTGTGGTCTGCAATTAACATAATGTGTGTTATAACACTTTATGTCGTTATTGAACACAAATATGTTACTGCTGTTCAAAGGTGAGGTAAGAGGGAGGAGGAGACCGGGAAGGTGCTAAGGAAAGGAAATAAAATCTGGATATGAAGAGAAATGTATGGCACTGAGAAGAAAATTAGAAATAAAAATTGGTGGTAAGAAAACAAATGGGAATTTGAAATCATCTAAAGAGATAAGTCATGTGTAACATTAAATATAAGGAAATAATGAACAACTTCCTAAATATTTCCTAGAGTTATTGCAGCATTAAGTGGGTATTAAAGTGACAATATAAGATTTATTGAATCAAGGTAAATATTGACTGAACCAAAGCTGAGATCAATATTTGCCCTCTTGAAGGAAAATAAATCTTGATGCTCACTGAAACATTAAGTCAACATATGGTACTTTTACATACGTTCGTAATGCTTTCTTCAAAAATATCTGAAAGTCTCTGAATTATGGCTGACAGCAGACTTTCACAGCATGATTTTTTTAGTCAATAAAGAAATTGGATTTTCTTTTAATACTACAGGAACAATTATGTGCTGTGCTTCTTTTGCATAATAATGCTTCAACATTTCAGCTTCTATTCCATTTTATTTATCACTCCTGTATAAAGTTATTGGTGTGTATAACATCAAATACTGACACATAGACTTCACATATAAAATATGCATTAGTTCTCATAAAGATAATTAGACTTACCTTTTCTGCGTTTTTCCAGGTATCCAGCCTTCAGAACAAACTGAAGATCTTGAGCAGCAATAGGAGGAAACTGACTCCCTGAAAGAAAAATAAATTTTGTAAAGCACCACTTTTCAAGAATAATACAATAGCAGCATTAATAAACTTATTTTACACTCTCAATATGCGGGAGCTACTGGGAAAAAAATAATTCTAGTAACTACTGTACCAGATTACTTCAAGTACAAAAACCCTCTAACTATAAGTATCAGAGTTGTTGCTGCTGTCCTCACCACTTTAATAAGGAAAAATATCACTGTGTAGCAGGCTCTGAAGTCTCAGAAGGAAAAATATGTAATTAAACAAGCTACAACAACTTTGAAAACATTAGTTAGTGTTTTGAACGTGGTCTGTAAAGCACGTTGAATAACAAAAGCAGTAGCTTTCACGTGTGCAAACAAAAACAAGTATCCAACACAACTGAATCAGGAACATGGTACTCAATATCAGCTTTGCACAAAAGCATCTTGAAACAACATACAAGGTGAGGACCCTCTATTACACGGTCTACAGAAAAAGAAACCATATGAAGAGATGATAGAAGGTGATGTCTGTTGTTGAGAAACATCTAATTTGCAATATGACACAAGACTATACAGCCTGTAGTATGTAAAAGGCAATACTGGATAGACCAAGGATATTGCACAGAAGTCTAGAAAATTATTGGTCTACAGATACTAATTTTAGATTTTGTAAACATGGCTGCATCTGAAAAATGGTGACTATGTCCCACTGTATGTTTTTTCCTTTTTCTCAACTGCTAATTCATAGCTAGAAGCATGAGACCAATAAGTCAACCTTGCCTCAACAAAATCTAGGTGATAAAAACTGCATCTTCCATCCTGCATCCTTCCCCTCCTAAAACTACAGAATTATTATTTAAATGGAACTCCTAGTATTAAGAACAGAAATATGTTAGATATACCCAATAATTATCACATATATAAATGTCACACTATCTACTGCAAGCAAAAAAGCAGAACAAAAACTATTCTTGTACTGCTGGTTTTTTAAGTGCATGTAAGCATCCCAGTGAAGTTCCTTCTACTTATTATCATCAAATATTCATGAGAGTCACTGTAGGCAGGTGGCAAGTTTACATGGCAGCAATTCTTCCTCAAAAGATATGTAATCTCATTAAATTCTACCAATAAAAACATCTGAAAAAGGACTGATATTGGTAGACAACCCCTGGGCTAAAAAACATTTTAAACTATGCAGGGTCGGTTAAAGATCAATTGTCTGACCTTGAACCAAGAAACTGTCTCTGGGCAGTAATGCCAACTGCCTGGATTTTTAGTTTGTCCCTTAAAATAGAACTTTTAAGTCAGTGCCCACAAATGAGTTAGTTTATGGCGGTCTTATTTAAATACGGTTGTGAGAGGGAAAATACAAGAAAAAGAGGTAGGAACTTGCAGAGAATGTTGGGGGTGTTTTTTAAATATGAAAAGACTTAAAATGAGAATGCATTCCTTAAATAATACAACTGGCTTTTTAGACAACAAAAGATTTTATCGGACACCATAAGGTAGTAGATAAATTTTACATACACAGACATTTCCACTGAATTTTTTAATTAATATTATATTTAAATATTAGGAGTACACTAGCTATTATTTCAGCTTCTATGGAATTCTTGCTACTGTATTAAAAAGAAGAATTATTGGCTCCATGTATATGAATTTTAAAATGCTGCAGCTGTCCCTCCTCGCTTGATAACATGCAATCACTTCATAATGTTACATGAGAATTTAACACAAAGACATTCGCTGGCTAGTACACAGTAAGTTTAATAGTTACTTTAAAAGATGATCTAATGGCAATATTATGAGAATTTTACAAATATATATAGTGTGCTGCTTTATATTGGTCATTGGGAGGCATCAGTGTGCAACACTTACAGCTTCACCTCATCCAGTAGGGCTCATTTTAGAACAGTGCATCCCCACAGATGTGGAAGACACAAAACATAAACAAACTAAAGCAGTTCACTCAATATTTTTTTTTTATTTTAAGAATTTCAACCACTATTTGGATGTAACTTTGTACACGATTGTTTGTATTGCTTTGGGTTTCGATGAGGAAGCTTGGCAAGTGATCACTTAGCAAACAGTCAAATCAAATGGGACATATAGTCCCAGAAAAGCACATACTTTGGAGACTCCTTAATGTTATTCTGCCTGCAGGTAGAAGCTCATCTGAACTGACTACTTTGAAGAGTCAAAATTCCAGTCTCAGTTTTGCTACTTCTGCTGAGAAAAGTCAGGATAAATTTGATGATGGTATTTTCTGTAATTACATTTATTTTGCATAGGGCACTGAAAGCTCATGAGGAAAAGACCATGCATGGAAAGAAGGCAGTCTTCCACAGTTCTGGTGGCACTGCAGAAAGAAGTTATCCCCTAACCTGCAGAGAAGCCGGTTTCTTTTTCTGCTCCTCAAAGCAACTGAGGCAGTAACTCCACAAAACAAGCAGCAACTGCTCAGCCCCACTGCTACACACAATCTGTAAGTAGCCGAAGCAGAAACAGATCATGTGCATATTATCATCCTTCTGTCAGAGAAGCTTGGGAACCACAAAATATGATGAAACTTTAGTGGAAGGGCAGGAGAAATGGACCCAATCGTAATATCCCAAGACACATACAGCTGTACATGAAAGAAAAAGCATAAATCTTGCTAAATTCCTTCTTTCATTGCCCTTTACCTCCAGAGGAAGAGGAGGGAGAATAAGTAGTATGAAAAGTATAAAAGAAAGAGAAATATCCACCTCCTCTCAGATTCTCATTAACCACAGGTGTTGTGCATATGTGGCAGGAAGAAGGCACAAACACAGATATACTCTTACCCCCATACTGGAACGAAAACAAGGGGAAGAAAGAAGAGAGAATAACATCTTCCTTCCAGCCAGTCATGGAAGACTCCTAAACTGTGTCACCTTTCGACCTTTCTTCCACTTTTTCATTGCTTTCCTCTCTTGTCTGCATCTCAAGCAGGATTTAGAGTTAACTGCAATCCCTAGATGTAGGACCTCCCAACTGAAAGCTTGGGTTTTGCATAACAGGTTGGATTTTTGCAGTTGCTTTCAATCAAAATGTTGCTTTCCCATTCATTTGAAATGGCACAAATCTCCTATTAAAAAAAAAAGTATCACTAAACCAGCACTTTGTTATAGTAAAGCAGCATTTGTTTACATTACACTAGCAGCTGAGATCAGAGACTTATTAGTTGACTACCACATAGGACTTGGAATAAAACAGCTCCTTCTACAAAGAATCTATTTAACACAGAGAAAGACTGCCAAGAAAGATGGCATTAGTATATTTTTAGTAGAGAACTACCTTTTTTTAAATAAAGCACTGTGAAGCAAATTAAACAACTTGCTTCAAATCACATACTCCTTTAGAGTTTAGAGCTCCAAATCCCCAAATATTGTACTCCAGTGCACGCCCCAGGATGTCTTCAGGACAAGGAAAATTTTTCCCTTCCTTCATGGATGCAGGTGAAATGGCCTGAATCTCACTTTCTCTTAATTTCACTAGACATTGTCCACTATAAGAAATGAAATGTCGAGATGCAAGAAGATTACATCCTATGGTAGCACCTACTGGAATTAACTTTCTTGGGTGTCTCAGTGATTGTTCCTCAGACACTTGTGGTCAAGTTGACTACCAGATCAGAGCAAAATTTCTCTCCCAAAATCAGACCAGCAGACACCACCGTGTCTTCCTACCTACCTCCTACCCCTGTATGTCCTGTTTCCAGATTTTTTTCTAAATCCTTGAGACACAAGATGTCAAAAAGGGCCATAGTCTTTCCAGGTTTTTCCTTTGGTACACTGTAGTTTCTGAAGTCAATTTTAAATACCAAAGAGTAAAGTGGCACTGTAAGTCAAGAAGTGCTCTGTGGCTTACAGCTGTGCGAGCTTACAGGTGGCAAAAGGTAGAGTGATTGCTCCTGTGTACCCTTCTGGACCTAATTTCTGTTGTATTGTTGCCCTGGCAGTGGTGGGCAAGCACAGAGCTGAGAATACAAAAGGAGTCTCCTTTCCATTCCCGAGTTTCCACCTCACAAATAATGTCTTGAACCTTATTCTTTTGATGTGAAAATCAGACCAATACGACCCAATATTTGGGGAGATTATTATCTTGCATCCCCAATATACACTATAAAATGAGGGAGGTCCATCTGCTTAACGTTAAAGGTTTTCCTTCTCTCTTGACCACCCACTCACAGGTGAATCTCTCAGAATAATTCCTCTTCTTATCCTGGTGGGAATCACTTCAATGTACTACAAACTAAAATCTGCAAGCTATGCTCCACATGCGTATTCCCAGACTGATACGTAAAAAGGCCATGAAAGACCAGATCAAAATATTTATGAGGCCTAAACCTTCAAGTTTTACAGAAAAGTAAATTACACATATCATGCACCCGGCTCTTCCTCTTGGTTCTAGGCATTCCTGTGCCAAGTGAGCAGCTGGCAGTTATTATAATGCTATTGCTGCCAGGCTAAAAATTCCTCCAGTGAAAAGAAAGTGAAATGCTCTCACTCAAGCATAAAGCCAGCTTTTCTACCAGTCATGCTTTGACTTCAGAAAAACATGAATGTCATTAATGTAGGTTTATTAATGCACAGGTTCCACTGCACAATTCCCACAAACGCAGTGCATCTTGTGACTTCAGAAAGACTTCAGACTGCAGCTTATGGCATGGCTACAATCTTTGCAACTTGGTAATCAGACAGTCAAAAGCCTGAATGGTGCAATTTTGCACCCCACTGCAATACCGTATTTGGCCCATTACTTAAAAGCAGTTTCATTAGTGTCAGTTCACATGATAAAGAATAAAATTCAAACATTATGCATGGCATTTTGATTTTTGGAGGACCCAAAGGTGTTAAAATTTCATTCTGTATACGAAATAAATAAAACAAAACCAGGTTGTATTATTCTCCACTGTATACCAATAGGAATATTTTTTATTTCTTCAATGTGGGCTAAGGGATACATAAAGCAAGAAATAATTAGAGGTCAATG